GGGGGGGGGGCTACACTGCTGCGGTCAACGACCTCTGCGCTGCAGCCAGCCGCCAGCCCCCCTCCGCTCCGGCGCGCACCGCACCGCCAGCTGTGCGCCTCCCCTGCCATCCCCCCTCCTCTTGCTGCTACTGCTCACCGGTGATTGTCGAAGCCCACAGGGCGATTGTGTCTTTATAGTACACAAATATACTCCGTGACTTCACTATCACCCACCATGCCGCTCAACTCACTCTCCTACTGGGACATTGACGTGTAAGTGCAGTTTCTTAAGTTTCTCGGTTTATTGGCTGAGCGATAGCGAAGCCTATAGTGTATTTCGACGAACATAAAGGTTCCTGATTCGCCGAGTGCTTACCTCACCAGCGTGACGAAGAGGCGAGAAGCTCTCGACCAATCGGTAACGTTTACGTTCTACCCGCTATTCTTCTACCTTTGCCAGTCGAAATACACTATAGTACAGCCTTAAGGCACACTTTAGGATTCGATTTAAAATCGATCTCTGCCCCAAAATAACTCCAAGAGCCATCAATGGCGCACCGTTGTCACGCACAGGAAGACGATACTTTTTTGAAAATAACCCATGGCTTGACTTGGAATTATAAACGAAAGTCGGTTCCTGATTGGGTGCGTGAAGCTAAAGTTGCAAAACACGCAGGTCAACCACTAGCGGCATCTTTTAAGAGTTTGTAGCAATTTTGTTGACAGTCGCAGACCAATCCGTTGCAGCACAATCGTGCACACCGAAAAGGACTGCATCATCCAGTTGAAGGCGAAGATAGGCATGTTCCTGGAGAGTGCGCGCACTGGCGCTAACGGCAAAATTGGCGTCTATCTATGCTCTTAATACCCCTTTAATCCTAAATTGATGCGGCGTGAAGTTTTTATGTTGTGACTATTTTCCCAAACCCTTCCATTCACATGTCTGCCCCCTTAAACACGCAATTCAGTTGGGATTTTCATTAGTTCCTCACACATTACAATTCTGTTCATTTTCAACATTCCCAAACAGTTTTAAGGGATTTTAAGCTGCTCGCGCGAGTGACATCTCTAATCTCGCTGCTGCCGACGCTGGCACACCGAGTGACCATATCGCTTTTTCTTTTTTTTCCAGTGTTGAGTCATTTCTAGAAGAAAGGCAAGAGATGACAAAGTTTTCTCTCCACATGGTAGAGTACCATGTCAACGCTCGCAATGAGTTTGAGGCGAGGGCGGAGGCCAAGGCTACATTAGAAGGAATGTTGCACGTGCTCCATGACAGTCGCATCGAGTTTGAGCGCATGCGGATGGCCGCCAAACGGGCAGAAGCGCTGTTCTTCGGCTACTCGACAGAAGGTCTGCACGAGATCCTGCAATTAAGGTAAGGCCACTTCCGTTGCCCCCGCATGAAATCACTGCCGCGGTATGGGAGGGGGCGGTTAAGGCTGACCGCCGCCGGGTGGGCAGCGGCCAGCGGGCTCAACAAACATGTGCGCCTATCACCAGTCTGCTGGGCGCTACGGGCCGAAGCGGGGGCGGGGCTGGCGGGTG